AACCCATAATAATTGTATGTATTTATAGGATACAATATAATGTTTCCATACATGTACAGACTGTGTAATGATCATATAAGGGTAATTAGCAAACCTATCACTTCGAACATTTATCATTTATTTGTGATGAGAACATTCAAAATCCTAGCTTCCAGCTATTTTGAAATATACAATACATTATTCTTAACTACAGTTAAGAACCCTACTGTTCAATAGAACACCAGAACTTATTCCTCCCTGATATTCCATTAGACAAGATTGTATTAGAAACCTTTCAGGACCAACAGTAAATGTTGCAGCAGCTAGCTGTATCTTTGATAAAATTTCCTCCACCGCTGCCTCTAATGATGTTGGTGGTTGCTCTTTTATATTGGGAAGGAGTAGAATTGTGAGAAAACATGGGAAGATGTATACCTTGGAAGCTTATATAATAGTAATAAAAACAATAATAACCAATGTTTATTGAGTATTTTTATGTACCATACATTGTTCTAAAGGGCTTGTATTAGTTGGGTGCATTTAGCTGAAAGTAACAGAAAATAAAACTGGCAAAAAAAAACAGTTGGGAATATATAGGGTTACATTATGCTAAACAAGTTTAGTTTAAGTGATGTCAATCTACATTTTTATGTACCATACATTGTTCTAAAGGGCTTGTATTAGTTGGGTGCATTTAGCTGAAAGCAACAGAAAATAAAACTGGCAAAAAAAAAGCAGTTGGGAATATATAGGGTTACATTATGCTAAACAAGTTTAGTTTAAGTGATGTCAATCTACTCTTTCTTTGTGATTCTGAGATTGGCTTGGCTTCTAGGAAGGATATGTCTGTAGAAGGTGTTTGTTCTTCACATACATATATAATAATATCAAGAGGAAGAGAGAAACTGTCTAGTAAGCATGTGTGATATTCAGCTTGTACACTCACATAGTCTTTTATGGCTATTTATTTATATTAGTCAATGTTTATCTACTGACTCTGAAATAAAAAAGTAAGAAAAGTAAGAACAAATTTCTGTCATTAGGGAATGGTATACATTGATAGGCTTAAGGCTGGGTTCCTAAATTAATTACTTAATTAAGAGAGGGGTAGATTAACATGATTGGCTCAAAATTACCAGGTCCCACACATTGAGCTGAGCTGGGTTCAGTATCCCAGATTGCATGGTCATCATGCAATAGGGGTGGGGGTGGTAGAATGGATATTAAAAGACAGTCAATATCCACTCTGGCATTTAACATTTATTATCTCATTTAATCCTCACCAGAGCCCTGTGAGATAGGTTCTTTGTGAAAGCTATTTTTTTGATCCTTAGTTGTTTATGTTGCTTAGCTCCCATGGTTTGAATGACATCTTCTTTTAATAAAACCTCTTGAAATTTGGCCTTCCATTCTGTCTTAATTTACTGTATCCCAGGAATTTAGGGATCATGACCAAGGGGTGGGAGATTGGTCCTGGTATTCATAGAACACACTATACACCTCCATGCCTTCATATGTTCTCCCTTATGTTACTTCTCTTACTTGGATTTTCGTTCATCCCACGATTGTTCAAACACTTTGAGGTCTAAACCAAGTATGAGTCCTTTGTAGAGCCTTCCCAAAACTCTCCTGCCAGTTTACATACGGTCTTTCATAGCATCATTCTCCCATTTTTTAAAATCTGATTCGCATTAAAGTTAAGTATATTCATGCCCCTCCCCCCCCGCCTCAAGAATGTAGGTTTCTTGATGTGAAGGACCTTTTTGTAATTATCTTCCAATCCTTAGTACTTTATTTTAGTAGGAGCTTAATACAGGCTCATAAGTGGAACACTGAGAAGCTCCAAACCCTAGGCTTTTTTTTCTACTAGAGGCAAAAATTTCATAGACATTGTGTTTATTTAATAAAAATTGGCTATTCTAAAATATGCAGAAATTTACACATAATGATTCTTAAGTAAGGATTTAAAATAAAGTCAAATTTTAAATAGACAAGTAGAAAGGTCTGAAGCTGGAGAAGTTTTTTTAAATTAATTAATTTATTATTATTATTATTTTACATTCTAAGATGTTGTTGCAGAGCAGTTAGGGAGGAGGGAGAGAGGGGAAGGAGGGGGAGGGCATGGTCGAGGCCCGTGGCACCCCCCCTTACTGTGGCAGGGGAGCCCAGCACAGGGTGCTTCCAGCAGCGGCTGGGTTGTGGCTGGGCTGGATGTAGATTTCACGGAGGTGTGGCTGAAGCCCTCTGCCCCACCCCACCCTGGCTCAGGAGCCTGGGGGACTTCCGGCAGTGGCTCTGTGGTCACTGCTGGGTTGGATATGGACACTGGGGGGTGTGTGGCTATGCCCTTTGCACCCCCTACCACTACTTGGCATCCCAGGGGGCTTCTGATCCTTCTAGGTTTTATAGGTGTTCTTGGTGGTATTAGACCTTTACTGGTTAATATCAAAACTTTGTCTTGGTTCTATGGGTTTTTGTTTTTTTCTTTAAATTCTATGTTGGATTATTCACTATCGTCACCACTTAACCTCTGCACTGGAACTAATTTGTCCTTCGCTTAGTTCTAAAATGGGGGAACTTCATGTAGGGAGCAGCAGTTCAGCCCTGTGGTTGAGCTAGATTGCTGCTTTACAACTGATTATCTGGAGAAGGCTTTTTGTGAAGCTCAGGTTCTAATTGCTGACCTTGTAAGCACTTCCAGGTCGTGTGAGGTCCAATACACCCGGGTTATGTGGAAACTCTGGTCTGGGCCTAACTCTATTCAGCAAACTGCACCCCCTGCAGATCTATACTCCTGACCACTCTTCACTGAATGGGCCTGTGCTGACTGGAGGGCAGATCAGCTGTCCATGCTGTGCCCCAATATTCCCCCAGTTGGCCCATCTCCCCCACCCTCCAAGCACTTCCCATAGGGTGGGCCATGCTCTGGTTCCTTGTGATGACTCACTGGCCTCTGAGTGGCTCATTTTTTCAGTCGTCTGTGGCCCCTCGATCCTGTGTGGGTCCACAAGAACCCTGTTAGTGGTCTTGCTGGCCTGGGGGCCACCAAGGCCCTCTTCGCCCCTGCGGCCTCCGAGCAACTTCATACAAAGGGCACAGCAGCGTCTTTTGCCCGCTCTTGTTCCATGTGTTTACCAGGACCAGTTTTGAAGTGGCTGGGGCTCGAAAGAGTCAGAGTGGTCCTTTCTTTCTCTCGTCACTTTTCCTGCTTTCATGAACTCCATAGGTCTTTCTTCCTCTTCCCCTGAGCTCTAGCAGTCAAAAACTTTGTCTTGGTTCTATGGGTTTTTGTTTTTTTCTTTAAATTCTATGTTGGATTATTCACTATCGTCACCACTTAACCTCTGCACTGGAACTAATTTGTCCTTCACTTAGTTCTCAAATGGGGGAACTTCATGTAGGGAGCAGCAGTTCAGCCCTGTGGTTGAGCTAGATTGCTGCTTTACAACTGATTATCTGGAGAAGGCTTTTTGTGAAGCTCAGGTTCTAATTGCTGACCTTGTAAGCACTTCCAGGTCGTGTGAGGTCCAATACACCTGGGTTATGTGGAAACTCTGGTCTGGGCCTAAGTCTATTCAGCAAACTGCACCCCCTGCAGATCTATACTCCTGACCACTCTTCACTGAATGGGCCTGTGCTGACTGGAGGGCAGATCAGCTGTCCATGCTGTGCCCCAATATTCCCCCAGTTGGCCCATCTCCCCCACCCTCCAAGCACTTCCCATAGGGTGGGCCATGCTCTGGTTCCTTGTGATGACTCACTGGCCTCTGAGTGGCTCATTTTTTCAGTCGTCTGTGGCCCCTCGATCCTGTGTGGGTCCACAAGAACCCTGTTAGTGGTCTTGCTGGCCTGGGGGCCACCAAGGCCCTCTTCGCCCCTGCGGCCTCCGAGCAACTTCATACAAAGGGCACAGCAGCGTCTTTTGCCAGCTCTTGTTCCATGTGTTTACCAGGACCAGTTTTGAAGTGGCTGGGGCTCGAAAGAGTCAGAGTGGTCCTTTCTTTCTCTCGTCACTTTTCCTGCTTTCATGAACTCCATAGGTCTTTCTTCCTCTTCCCCTGAGCTCTAGCAGTCACAGCTTGGCAGTCATTGCTTTTTAATAGTTGTAAATTGGTTGATTGTGGGAGAGGGTGACACTGGGGACCATCTATTCTCCTATCCTCTGAAGATGGGGAAGTTATCTGCACAATTCTTGCCATATACTCTTACCGCCACCCTGAACCAAAGCTGTTTTGGACTTTTTCCCCCCTCCTTGAATGGGTCTGGTTCTCAGCTCAGGTACCTGCAAAAAAATTTTAATGGTTCCATGGCCATGAAGGCATCCCTCAACACTCATCTTTGAGCTTTCAGTTGAATATCGGTTTCTTAAACTGGCCTCTCCTTATCACCTAAGGTTTGGTGACCTTACGCCATATCCTCCTACCACATTTAAAGCTATTAGTTAATGCCTCTCAAATTTTAGATGAACTTCTACACCAGGAAAAGGACTGCATTTACTTTATTTACCACTAAATTCGTAGCACCTCACTCTATATGACATATAAGTGTCACTAAAAGAATAAATTAGTGATGCCTGCACATTTGGTAAAGGTAGGCTGCACATTTGGCTCTAAGTTTTTAGTAGCCAAGACAAAGAATTTTAAAACTTATGGAAAGCTTAGGGTAAAATAAAATACTTCAGGACCAAATAAGAGTTTGGGCTAACTGATCAAAAGCAAGTAATAAGACCGAATTAAGAGCTTGAGCACCACTGTTTTATTTATTTCTTAAAAGGTGTGGGAATGCTCCTGCTGTTCATTCAGTTTATTTTTTGTTTCAATTAATCTGATAATGAAAGAACAATGTGAAAGCCCAGAATTTAGCATAATGCCTGGCATTAATCAACAGGAAGTCAGTACATTTTTCTCCAATTGAATTGATTTTAAAATCTCATTTAATACCGTTTCCTCACATGTAACAGTGTGTCTCTGGCGTTACCTACTTAGGATAAACCTGAACATAGATCCTCCTTTTAGGTAAAGCACAGAAAATGTTAACCTAGGGATATTTCCGAAGCGAAAGGACGCACAGCAGGCGGAGCTGCTGCTGGAGCGTCTTCAGGAGGTGGGCGAGGCCCAAGCGGAGGGCCCCAGCAGGTTTCTCAGCAGCCTGTGGGAGCGCCTGCCTCAGAACAACTTCCTGAAGGTGACAGCCGTGGCGCTCCTGCAGCCGCCGTCTTCTCCCCGGCTCCAGGAAGAGGACTTGCAACTGGGTAGCCCCAGAACATCCGGAGAGGGTAGTCAAGAGCTACTCCATTGGCTTCTGGGGAAGTCGGAAATCATGGCTGCTTTTTGCCGCAATCTCCCTCCCCAGCTTTTAACTTTGGTGGCACGCCGCCACCCAGCGCTCTCTCGTGTCTATCTGAGTCTGTTGACAGACTGGGGTCGACATCTGCACTATGACCTTCAGAAAGGCATTTGGGTTGGAGCTGAGGCCCAAGATGTGCCCTGGGAAGAGTTGTACGATAAGTTTCAAAGCCTCTGTCAGGCCCCTTCACCTCTGAAAGATGAAGTTATAACTGCCCTGGAGTCCTGTAAGGCGCAGGATGGAGATTTCGAAGTCCCTGGTCTTAGCATCTGGACAGACCTGTTGTTAGCTCTTCGAAGTGGTGCATGATGCTGCATTTAGGAAAAGACAAGTTTTAAGACTCAGTCCAGGCCCCAGTTCTCTATGGGCAATGTTCTGCTATTAATTATTTGAATATGTAATTTACAAAATGAAAATATCAGTGTTCTCACCAAATCTGTACCTTCATGTGTCCAAAGTATAGTTATTTTAGGTGCTAATTTTGAGTGGTTTATTATACAATTATAAATAAGCAAAGGTATTGACTTATAGTGCTATGGGTTTTCTGGTTAGAGGAAGTGACATACTAGATGTGTTCTACTTAAAGCCATGGAATTAGCAATAGTTTGCTTTTTAAAGGCCCCTTTCTGGGAATGATGAAAACAATGTACATTCCAAAGAAAAAGCAGCTTTAAAGTGATAAACACCACACCCTTTTCTATCAGTCCGGTTTTTTTTTTTTTTTTAAGTCTCTGTCCCCTCCCCCCGCCATTAGTGAAGAGTTTTCTTTAACCAGCCACATGTGGTGATGTCAGAATTGTTGGTTTGAAAAGCTAACTAGCCTATTCTGAGTTTAAACCTTGGACTTTGTCCCTGTTAACCTAGTGTTTTAATCAACTAACCAGCCTCCACATGCATTAAAATTGTGTTATTTAGAAAATTTCTCATTTCTGTAAATTATTAAGCTCTGAAAGTGAAAGACCACATAGTCTGTTATTGTAAAGCATTGACTCACAGACAAAAACAATGTTTAAAGCATAGTAAGTGCAAATATATGCCTTTGGAATTAACATTACATGGTAAAAGAATCTAACTTCTGAATTAGAATTCCAATGTTTTAATATTGCGTCTGCTATTAACTAGGTTAGAATATTTGTTTAGAGACAGTTTAGAATATTTGTTTTGTGTGTAGGAACCTAATTTTGTTAATTTATATGGTGTTTCACAACTGACAGAATGTTTCAATAGTAAATACACTTTTCTATATAATTTTGAGTAAACACTAGCAAATTCTTAATCTCTGTCATTTGATTCCTTTTTCTAGCTCTAATCCATGTAGACCATCTTTTAGATTGCAATTGCCATTAATGCAAGAATAAAGGCAATACCTTCTGTCAGTTACATGACAGTCTTTTTTCAAAAAACAGCCCAGTGAGGAGTTCTACCTCAGCAAGTCCTAACATTGGCTTTAATTTTAGAAAATAACAGTTTGTGTCCTTATTTTCCTGTATCTGCCACTACATTTCACACTGTGATTTAAGATGAAATGATGAACACATATTGTACACAGGTATTGATACTCAACTTTGTACCCCACAGATATATATGTAATCAATTGTGTTTCAAAAAAATAAGATTAAATGATGAAGACTGATAGACTTAAGAACATTTTAAAGTCAGTTTTTATACTTACCATTCATTAAGCTCATATTTTATTTTAGGCTCCATGATGTGTTTGCTACATGCATAATCTTATTTAATCTTTGCACTGAGACTGTATTCTTATGACTATAAACTAAGAGAGATTATGTAAAATGCCCAAGGACACAAAGAAAAGCAACATGAGAGTAGAAGCCATATCTAGTATTTTTTATTTTGTTTCTGAAAGCCTAGCACAGTGTCTGGCATGTGATAGGTACTCCTAACGTTTGAATAAATGAAACTAGCATTAGAACCTTAATCTGTATACTTTCTCTTATCTTAAACAAGATGAAGGACTTGAAAAGATGCTATAGAATATAGTAATCTTATTCCTCTAGGAATCTATGTATAGGATGGGAGAAAAAGTGAGAGGAAGACTATATAAGTTTGAAAATATTTGATATTTAATAACTTTATTTGATAACTTTATAAAATCTAGAAAGGTTTATTTTGTGTTTTTTTTTTTGAAAGGTTTTTTTTTTTTTTTTTTTTTTTTTTTTTTTTTTTTCTTTCTGTTTTTCCTGTCAATGAGGGAGCAGTATTGAAGTCTCCCACTATGATCTAACTTCAGGAAATTTTATCAATTATTGTTTCATGTATTTTGAGCAATTTTATGACCTGTGTACAAATATAGCATTGTTATATAATCTTGAACTGAATTTTCGTTTGTAGTGACTGCCTTTCTGCTTTAAAGTATTTTTTTCTATTATCAATGTCCTTAATAATGTGATTGGACTTTTTTCTGCTATCCTACTTTGTATTTTCTATTTTTCTTAATTTCTCTATGTTTTATCTGTGCCCTTTATGATTGTCTAAATATTTGTTTGTTTATCTTATTCATTTCCTTCTCTACAAGTTCGGACATTATATTCTATACCTAAGCTTTTACTCTCAAAACTCTTTTACAATACTTAACTTAAAAATATCTAGAATTAGTCAATATCTTAACCACACTTCCTAACAATACAATGGCCCTTAGGGAACTTTGACGCTGATCTCTTATCTTCAGCTTCGCAGGTGAATATCCAGTGTTTTAGTTTTGTTTTCATAAGGAAAAATCCAACAAGTTGTATATTTTACTTAATATTTTATACAGGCCAGTGCATTTTTCCTACATGTTTAATAATGTCATTTCCCATGATTACATCTCACATATTTCTACTGGAATCATTTTACTGTTTTTTGTTTGTTTGTTTGTTTTTTGTTTTCTTAGAAATTCCATTACGGAAGAATTTCTCTTGGTGGAAAACTGTTTCAGTTTTTATCTACAAATATTTTTGCCTTGTCATTGTTGGAAGGTAGTTTTCCTGTATACATGATTCTAGGTTAACATTAAAGATATTTACTCTTTTCTAGTTTCCAGAAAGCTGTTGTCAATCTACTTGTAGTTCTTTTGTAAGTGATCTCTTTTTTCTGGTTTCTTGTAGCATAGTCCCTCTTTAAGTATCTGCAGTCACTACAGTATATCTAACTGTAAATTTCTCTGTTTTTCTTGCTTGCCATGTCTTGTGTTTCATTTATCTGTAGATTTGTGTTATTCTCTGTTCTGGAAAATTCCCAGCCATTTTTTCCCCCCATTGTTTCCTTTCCTCCACTTTTCTAATCTCTTCTGTGACTCTGATCAGGCCTATATTAGATCTTCTCATAGTACTCTTATATCCTGTAACTCTGGGTTGCTGTGGAAACCGCTGTTATCTCCCAGAATCTATTTTCCCATGTTCATTTTACGAATAATATTCTATCTCCAAGTTTTTTTTTTTTTTTTTTTTTTCAAAAAGATGACCGGTAAGGAGATCTTAACCCTTGACCTGGTGTTTTCAGCACCACGCTCTCCCAAGTGAGCCAACCAGCCATCCCTATACAGGGATCTGAACCCGTGGCCTTGGTGTTAGCACCACACTCTCCCAAGTCAGCCACAGGCTGGCCCTTATCCCCAGGTGTTAGCTGGAAGTGGCCACTCAGCTAGAGAGTAAATTCTCCAATTTCTCCTGCAGTTAAGTGTGGCCATCTTGCTAGGTTTTAGCTACTTTTATCTAGACAGAAGTGATATGTGCTTTTAATGCTTTGTTTCTCTCTTTTAATAGGTTAGAAAGTCAATGTGCTTCTAGTGAGCTACCTTGAATCATATGGCTGAGGACAACTGGAACAATTGCTATAGGCCAAAAAATGAAGTCACATGTTTACGGTGGCAGAAGAGAGCAAACCTACCTAGTTTGTCCTGTTGTGTGGGAGAGAAATACACTTCTCTCTTATCCAAATCACTCTTTGAGATATCTTTGCCACATTAACATTGCCTATAGTCCTATGTAATATTGGTGTAGTCTTGGTACTTCTGTCTGATCTATCTGGTGTTTAAAATCATTGAGTTTTAAATTATAGCAATATATATATATTTTTCCTAAAAATTTTATTTGGCTATTTTTTTCCTTCCCAAATCTGCCTGGTTATTTTTCATAATCTTGTATTACCAGCTTATTTTTGGTGATTCCATTTTTATTTTTTAACATTTTTACTTATAGTCTTATTAATCATTTCAAAGCCCCAAAATTCCCAGGATACTTACCTAAACCCTGGGGATTCTCTCATGGTGTTTTATTTCTTTATATGTTTTATATTTTATTGTAAGTTCACATATATTTGATTTTAATCTGAAAACCTGAGAGTCTAAATAAGTATTCTTTCCCCATGAGGGCATTTTCAATTGCTTGTGCCGGAAGTAGGGAACCCCCTAACCTCAGGCCATTTTGGCAGGATTCCTGGCTTAATGTAAGAATTTTGGCTTGTGTTTCTTTACCTTATGGCTTGCTCAAAGCATATTTTTCAAGTCTTTTTTGCAGACTACTCACATCTCCATATTTTGCCGATACCTGTCTCTATAGCTAGATATAGATATATAGTTATATTAAGGGGTGGCTTGGAAATTTCTTTTATTTTCTGAAATCCCAATAAATCTTTAGAACTATGTTTTATTAGGCCGAGCCTGTGGCACACTCGGGAGAGTGCGGGGCTGGGAGCGCAGCGGTGCTCCCACCGCGGGTTCGGATCCTATATAGGGATGGCCAGTGTGCTCACTGGCTGAGCGCGGTGCAAGTGACACCAAGCCAAGGGTTGCGATCCCCTTACCAGTCACAAAAAGAAAAAAAAAAAAAAGAAGTGTGTTTTATTGAGACTCTGTTTTGTTGCAGTTGGACCTTATGGAATATGTAGAGGATTCTTAAAGCAAATGAACTTCACAGGGTCTGCTTTTCCAAAGCCTTGCAGTTTCAAATATTGACCTTGCAGAGGACAGGAAATTTTCCTCAGGCTATAAAGTCTCTGGTGTAAGATAAAGATTTATGGCACAGCAAGGTTGCTGGATCAAAGACAGACAAGTTACTGATTGATATGTAAAGATACTGAGAAATTGCTGTAAGAAGGGAGTGTTTGCTAAGATCAAGCTTTTGTTGATAGGACCACTTAATTGCCTTAATGGAATATCATCTGACTTGTTTTTACTAAATGTTACCAGCTTCTATTGTTAAATTATAACCCCACCTATGTTCTCTTCCTGTAAGTTCCTGGTCTGGAAAATAAATGCAGGAAGAGAACCCCAATTTGTGGTTAATTTCCCAAAGAAGGGATGCCTTTTGCTTGAGGGTTCCAGGGAAGTTAACCACTTCAGGGATTCTCCCTGCTCAGAAGAGATGGGCTTTGAGTAATCCTTTGTGACTCCATCACCCAGGGGAAATGGGGTGACAAATCTATGGGGGGCAAAGCAA